AGACGTGCCGATGTTTGACTTATCCAACAGCAGGCTCAAGCCGTTATCAATTGCGAAAACCTTTGCTGCTTCAATGAAATGTAATGTTGGATTATTGAGACAACTTAGACAAGCAACAGCAGTAGCACGAGATTAAAAAGTAAGAATGTATTTTCTCGTTTTTGAACTTTTGCGAATAAATAGAATTAAAAATGTTATGAGTAATAATCTTCAAAAGAGATATCTTATGGCTGTTAATAAACTTCAAAAGAGATATCTTATGCAGCTAATAAACTCCATAAGAGACATCTTATGGCTGTTAAAAAAAAGTCCAGCTGTTAATTTTAAAATATCTGAACAATAAAGAACAGGAAAAAAGTTGAAAGTTTCTCGAAAGTCAGCTTAATTATAACCAAGTCAAAAAACTTGCATAGTATAGCGTATCTGTAGATATAGTTCTTTTTCCATTTACTACTTCGGTTATTTACTTAATTTATCAATAATTCAAAGTAAATGTATTCTCTCTAAAACGAAGAATTATCAAATTCAGTGTTGAGATATAAATGCAGTTTGCAGACAGTTCTAGCTGTGAATAAACTATAAACAGTCAAAACGTTTTCTTTAAGAAAATTCTGTGTAGTGATTATTAAATGTTAAATGAATTACAATTGAAACAACTAACAGTACGTAAAAACACTTTTGAAACTGCTGTACATAACTTATTTTAAAATTTCATAATATCTTGTTAGTTTTCCGTCGTACAGTCGCGTTAAGTTTACAAAAAAAAGTAACTGTTTAGACATGTGATATATACAAATTTTCTTAGCAGTAATAATAATAACTGAAAATAAACAGTTTAACAGTCTATGTCATTTACTTTATCGCATTATGAAATATTACATTATATTATATATAGTCATTAATTCCAGAAACACTCAATTCCAAAACTTGACTTTTGTTTTCAGATTTAGAGAGAACGGGATAAATATTACGGCTGATGTACATTTGAAGACGGGAAAAAAAAAACATAAATATACCAAAGTACGAAATAAGATGAGCATAAACTAATTCTACCTCCATTTAAGTAAACACGCCTTATAGCAATTTTCTGGTTTCCAAGAAGCTAACTGTATGGTTTTCCATTCTTCCATGCCAAATTAGCACCTTGATATCCTTTCCTTCCTGGCAACAATTACACAAAGTCACAATAATTACGTCAACACCTGCGCATAGAAATTTGGAATTCGATTATGAGGATCTAGGTCTTCTTGGGGAGGGATGCTTTATTAAACTACTACTAGAGCCCAAAATAGACGTTGAACGTTTTATGACTTATGATTTCCACGACACTAGCATCAAAGGTATCCTTAGATAAACACAGAAAGAGTACGAAACAAGAAAAAAAAAATTTTACTGTAGTTCAAACAGAAGCAACGTCTGAACTAAGTAGATAAAAACGAACAATTTACTAAGTTAATTTAACTAATTTTATCCTGTTATAATGGAGAACTCTTCTATTTCAAAGAGTTGTGGCGAGCCTTGTGGGAATAATGTGCCCTTTGAATAAAGAATTTTTAGCCGTGGCATAGCGGCTCATAGAATGGCTCTGAATTTTTCAAGTACTGAACTTAGAAGTATTTTTTCTTCATTTTTCTCAATCAATTAAGAGATAACTGAACTTCCAAGTATTTTTTCTCCATCTATTGAGAGATAACAGAACTCCTAAGTATTTTTCTCTTAATTGTTTCTCCATCTGTTGAAAGATAACTGAACTCCCAAGTATTTTTCTCTTAATTGTTTCTCCATCTGTTGAAAGATAACCGAACTTGCAAGTATTGTTTTTAAATTTTTTCTCAATCTATTGAAAGATAACTGAACTTTCAAGTATTTTTTCTTAATTTTTTCTCAATCTATTCAGAGATTACTGAACTTCTAAGTATTTTTCTCCATCTATTGAGAGATAACTGAACTTCAGAATATTTTTTCTTAATTTTTTGCTTCATCTATTGAGAGGTAACTGAACTTCCAACTATTATTTCTCCATCTATTGAGATATAACTGAACTTCTAAGTATTTTTTTCTTAACTTTTTTTCTCCATCAATTGAGAGATAACTGATCTTCCAAGTATTTTTCCTTATTATTTGTTTCTCCATCTATTGAGAAATAAGTGAACTTCAAAGTATTTTTTCTTAATTTCTTTTCTCCATCTATTGAGAGTTAACTGAACATCCTAGGATATATTTTCTTAGCTTTTTCTCAATCTATTGAGAGATAACTGAACTTCCAAGTATTTTTCCTTATTATTTGTTTCTCCATCTATTGAGAGAAAAGTGAACTTCCAAGTATTTTTTCTCCATCTGTTGAGAGATTGAACTTCCAAGGATTTTTTCTTAATTGTTTCTCTCCATCTATTGAGAGAAAAATTAACTTCCAAGTATTTTTTTCTTAATTTTTTCTCTCCATCTATTGAGAGATAACTGAACTTCCATGTATTTTTTCTCCATCTATTGAGAAATAACTGAACTTACAAGTATTTTTCCTTATTATTTGTTTCTCCATCTATTGAGAGATAAGTGAACTTCCAAGTATTTTTTCTTAATTTCTTTTCTCCATCTATCGATAGATAACAAAATTTCTAAGTATTTTTTCTCAATCTATTGAGAGATAACTGAACTTCCAAGTATTTTTCCTTATTATTTGTTTCTACATCTATTGAGAGATAAGTGAACTTCCAAGTATTTTTTCTTAATTTCTTTTATCCATCTATTGATTGATAACAAA